TATTATAATTTTTGCACAGATTCCAGTGGATCATTTGTGCTACTGAATTGTGCCGCAATTTATAATCAGTCTGCGCAATTTTTTTACAGCAGCTGTGGATGTGATCAACAGTTTTATTATTATTATTATTATTATTGTTTTAATCCTCATCATTATAGTTTAAACTAATGCATTTGTTGCAAGCTCCTTTGAATATGAGATAGAGAAAAATCTGAAATAGGATGTTACGTATTCCTACTGTAATTTTATCCTCACAACAATCATTTAATGTAAATTAGTCAAAGAGATTGATTGGCCAAAATCACCCACTTGCATGTGGATTTGAATCTGAATCTTTCCGGTCCTAAACATACCATATTTGTCATAGTTACATAAATAATTTTTGATTACACAAAATGTTCTTCCATAAACCCTTCTTCCCCATGAACAGTCTTACCATTTTGTATAGATCAGACACACTGATCTGATCAGAATCGACAATCTCAAACTCCTTCCGTGGGACAAGATCCAAGCCCAAATGTCTATGAAAAAACAAACCAACAAACCCAGAATCAATTTTTAAAAATATCTCCAAGATGCATATTAGATCCTTTCAGATTTGAGGATTCAGATTTGAGAAGAACAGCTTTCATATTAAATGATAAAAAATTTCCTATTCTTTGCATAAAATACTGTACATTCTAATAAAAGAGGTCAATTGCTCTACTCTATAATTAACACAATAATGAGGAAATGCCACAGACCTGGATTAGAGACCCTTGAGCTTAAATTTCTATTCAGCCTTTAAACTCTCTTCCTGTAACTGTTGGGTTATTTTTGATGTCTTCAAGTCAGTCTTGATTCCAGACAATTAAATGGACCAGAGTTCTGTATGGCAGTATTTTCCAAATTGTTTTGCCATTGCCTTTTACTATGGCTTAGAGCAGGGGTGTCAAGCTTGATTTCATTGAGGGCCGCATCAGGATTGTGTTTGACCTGGGGAGGGTATGCGGGGGGGCTGGCCAGCTCAACGTCATTGTGTCAGGAGCGCTTGTGGTGGCCTGAGTGCTCTGCCAGCGAAATGGGCTCCCAGGTTCTGTTTTCACTGGCAGAAGGTTGCAGGAGACTGTGATAGCCAAAAATAGAGCCCAGGAGCCCGTTTTTGCTGGCAGAAGCACTGTAGGCCAGTACTTCGCTGTTTCGAGAGTGGCCCCTGGGCCAAATCTAAGTACCCTGTGAGCTGCATCCGGCCCCTGGTCCTTGAGTTTGACACCCCTAGCTTAGAGGGAGTCACTGGCCCAAGGTCGCTTATCTGACAAAATTAGAAATTAGAACCCAGTCTCTTGGTTTGCAGTACTTTAACCTTTATAGCAAAATGGCTTTCTATTTACTGTATTAAACATATATATAGCAATACAGCCTTCATATTATAATTATGCCAACATATATCCTCATATCAATTATTATGCTTGTAGTGTTTATTCATCCTGCCAAACATTTGGGAATCTGTACTTAACCTCATATTGTTTATGTTAGGATTATTTAGTAGCTGGCTGTTATCACTACCCAGAGATAATTTCTATCAAAAACATCACAGCAAATATAATAGTTCAACCTTTACTATGAGGTGTTATAGAAAAAAGGTTTGATTTAGGAAACACTTTTTATAAGTCTCTATGCAGGAACATGTATGTGGCACTAGCAAGTCCACTAATTATTTTGATTTGGCCTGGACCTTCGTATACATATAGCATTGATAATAAAGAGACAGAGTACTTCAAACATGACACTGCACAAGCTTGAATATCCAAAGCATAATTATCTAATGAATGCTGAAAACTCTAACAACAGTACAATATGCGACACTACACAGATTTTGGCACTGACCAGAGTCATTTTGGGAGGAACAGCATTAAAATCTAATCAAACAAACAAACAAGCAAATGCAACGCAGTAGTACTCAGAAGTTGAGTAGAAGCAACAATATCAGAATATTTACAGCTCAACTGTGGTCATTCAAAGTTATTCTGGAAAAGGATAATAAACAAACAAGAGAAGGGGACAAACAAGAGTTCACATAGTTCACATATGGAATCTTAACTATGGAGTGGGAAGAAAATGTTTCAAAGAAACTCCACCTTAATTGGCTTATTATAAATTTTCCCATGAATTTATTTCTAAAATGTCTAGATTATGTTTTAATCCAGGATTACCTAGAAACATATTTTTCTGAAATCAGTGTGATTTTCATTTCTTGGGAGTCATCAGCTACTTGACAATTTATAAGGCAAAGCAGCTTTCCCAATATTGAAAGGTATTGTGGAGAAAGTATATTCATGTTATATAAAATGTAAAATATGAAATTAAAAATAATCATTTCTTGATTGGTTATTTGGGTTTTAGAATCCTCATTTGAGGGCTTTCTTAATGAGTACATCCATCTGATAAAGTGTAAGGAATAGCTATTAGGAAAGTTATCTCAACTTTAGAAATTTTTTTGCTAGCCTTCAACTTACAACAGCAATTAGGACTGGAATTGCCATTGCCAAACATAAGGCAAAAAATGTGATGTCATGTGGCCACATCAGTTAGTGATAGCAATTCCAGCAGTCCCACTTTTTGTTTTAAACCCCAGGACGATGTGGATTGTTAAGCAATCAGAGGTGGGAGACCCAGTGCTGGAGGAGGGGGGTGGTAACACACCTCCTCCTGCCTGCATGATTTTGACAAACAAGATAGTATGAAAGAATTTAGAACGGAGTCTGGGATATAGAATAATCTTTAGGGAAAGATGTGAGCTATTAAGAAGGAAGTTTGAAAAAATATAACACAATCTTAAGAATGAATCCTGGAAAAAAAAAACCTCAAAATATCCATCTCTTGATTGTATTTAGTACAATCAAGTAGAATAGAAACTTAGACAAAGTTTTCATATTTTATTATTCTATCTTAGTACAATAATGTACTATGCCAGTTTCTTGACCTGGCATACCTTTGAAGGAGTAATAAGCCCTGAACATGTCACACACAGCCTGATATATATACCCCCGTGTCAAACAAAGAAAATTTGAATTTGATTGTGCGGATATAATGTTTTATTTTTAGCTGCCTCTATTTAGCAAGTTCCCTAAACTGCTGAATAAACATTTACAGAGATTGGGGAAATTGAAAAAGGAAGTATTCACTGATTCTCTTTCTGTGGACAATGGATAGTTCAACTATCCAAGTAATAAAAGAACCTTAAATTTGAATAAAATTTAAAAATATCTACACTTTTAGGAATTCCATTTATTTTTTCTAGTCAAGACATCTTTTTGTAGAAGTGTAAGAAGTCTTGCACATATGTATTCCATGACATATTAATTAAAATATAAACTATAAATCCCCAGACAAATAGCTGACATGGTCAAATTATTTGATCATAATGGCAATTATTATTGGTAACAACTAGCTCTGATTCACACCCAGAATCAAACTGGCAACAAGTTCAGCTTCTGAAGCAGGTATTATTAATGGGCATGCCCATCATTGTATTCTGAAGTTGAAGTTTCCAGTTGGTCTTTCAAGAGCAGCCCCATATAAAATACACTGCAAAAGTCAAGCAGCAAGGTATTCAGGATGTTAGTAGGTTCTCCATCCAAACATGGGAAAATATTGATACAATATAAAAAATGGAACACAATAAAACACAAATGTACTGTATGATTTCCTCTTCATTGCTTAATATATTTATGGATAAATTAATGAAGAACGCTTTTGGTATCAATACAGATATGTTCATCAGATACGTAAACATATTTGTACATTTTATGTGAACAATGCCAAATTGTTGTGAAAGACCGTTGTCTTACCTGAAAAGTTGTTCTCTGTGCATTGTGGGAGAATCCAACTTTTGTCCGTTTGTCCAGAGACTGAGTTAGAAAAAGTCCTGACCACGCCTCCTCTGCTCAACGGAGCTCAGTTTTTCAATGAAGGCGCAGCCAGTCAATAGAGATGGGAACGTTGAAGGTAAAGTTCTCTCGTGACCCTGAACCAGTTTGGTCACAAGAGTGGGGTTGGATTCTCCCGCAGCACACAGAGAACAACCTTTCAGGTAAGACAAGTCTTTCTCCTATGTGCTGCTTAGAGAATCCAAGCATGGGATACACGCAAAAGTTAACTCATGCTTGGATTCTCCAAGCAGCGCACAGGAGAATTTGAACATTTTCATCAAATATTAAATAAACTATATGGCACAATGAGGTATACAGATCTGAAACTTAATATATTAAAGACCAAGGTTTGTACTACAAGGAAAGTGGAGGATACAATTGTAAATTATAATGTATATAAATAGAGACAAATCAGGACAAATGAATTTGTGTTATCTTCTAGAAAGCCTACCAAATATGGTAAAAGTGATGGAGAAATAGATACAACTGCTGACAGAAACGTGAGGCCTATTATAAGGAATAAGTATTTATTGAAAGAAGTGAAAGTGGCTGATTATAAGAGTGTGCTTTTGTGCAAATAGGATTAAGATATGGCAGGAGAGAAGAAAATTGAATGTAGTGGAAATAGATTATTTAAAAAGTATGTATGGTAAAACAAGAGAGGGGGCAGGAATGAGTGGCTGCTGAATGATCATAACTAAAATGAGTGACAAATATGAAAGAAGTGTAGGTAGTCTTTGACTTTCATTCACAACTGGAACTGGCATATTCATCACTAAGTGCTATGGTCATTAAGTGAGCCATTCCCAATTTTACAACTTTTTTGCCATGGTTGTTAAGCAAATTATGCAGTTATTAAGTGAATCCAGCTTCCCCCATTGATTTTGTCAGAAGCCGCTTGGGAAGATCTTAAATGGTGATCCTGTGACCCCTGGATCGTAAATACCAAATATTCATCATGTGACTCCAAGGATGTGGTGTCTGCCCTGATCTCATGCTTTCAGAATCTCAGTTACAACGCAGGCTGCTCCAGCATTCACTTGGTTCCCCCAGCAATTCCTTCTGGGAAGGTGGGATCTCTGCAACTTGCTAACATGTGCAACTCATGAGCAAGCAGCAAGAAGCTGAACTCACCGCCACTATTTCCATAGGAACAATGGTCTCTTGCTAGAAACAATTACAGCACCTGGCTTGCCTATCTTGACACTTGGAATCTAGTTATTTACAACTCTGGCTTGTTGATTAACCATGATCTCTCATAAATCACAGGCTTGACTTTGGACTCCTGGACTTGGAAATTCACCTTGCTCACCTAAGCCTTATCTATAGTTAACAGCTGTTTCCTACTGCCTTGCTGTTGGGATTTACAGAAGCAAATTTTCCTTTTAATATTCAGGAAGTCTAGGAACTATGGCTTTAGAGTGCTAAAAAAAGTGAGGATACCACAGGGAAACCAAATGGGAAACACAACTAGATACACTAATTCTGCTTTATTGTTAGGTTATATTAATAGAACCTTTCAAGTCTGAAGTGCTGCTTCCTGCTGCTACTTTTAACTCCTTAATCAATTAGGAGGGTCCTTCCTAAGTTTCTTTCTCTGTCCACCAGTTTTAAGAGAGCTCCTGCCTCTCTTCTCTGTTTTCTAGACAGCATCTTTCCCTACACATTCCATATCAACTGTGATGGATGTAAATATGAGGCCTAATCATGTCACTTTTTAAGTGTCATTGTAACTTTAAACAGTTGTAATAAAATGGTAATAAATCAAGGACTATCTATATATATAGTTTGGCCATATAAAGAATATGAATGAGGCCTGAATCACCAAACTAATGTATTGAGAGATAATAAAGAGACTGAGAGAAAAGGGAAGTCTGAAAAAGTAACAGATGAATGAGTTGAATCCTGAAAAAGTGGAAAGTTTAAAGAACAAAAAGTATGATGTATAGAGATGGAGGAACCAAAAATGAGAAAAGAAAACATGGAGATATCTGTTAAATGATGTCAGTGTAAACTAGATTTAATAAGAATTATTTTCTACTCTCTTAACTTCTGCCTTTTCTTTTGTTAATTTCTTCTCATTATTTTTCTGTGCTTTGAATAATACTGTGTATCCCCCAAAAAAGCATAGCATGGCAATATCTGGGTTATATATAAAGCTTTTGACTATTTTCAAATTCTGTTATTTCATCACTATTACACTTATTTAAACAAAACTAGAACCATACTTACTCATTTCCCCAGTCCAATCGTACAGTGAGATGTCTCTTGACTTCTCGAACTTGATCCTGGGTCAAATGACCAGAAAGTAATTGTCTGCGAAGATCAATCAGTTCATTCATCACATGGCGTAGCTTGTAGAACAGATCTATCTTATGTTTCTGCGAACATTTTATTTTTTCGAAAGCAGAAAAGGAGAAAAAAAGATTTGAGAACCCTGAAAATTTCCTAATGAAACCAGGAATGGCATAGTTTACTCTATATTTTAAATTTCAGAATGTGTGTTTGAAAGCACAGGTAGTCCTCATTTATCACAACTAAGACATTAAGCAAAGTGGTCACTAAATAAAACTAAAACTGTGCTTATTATATTATTTCAGTTTTCCTTTGCTTTACAGATCTGTAAAGGTCATTAATGCAATGATTGGTCACAGTTATCTTTTTATCACCATTGTAACTATAGTCAGTCATTGCCTGAAACAGTTGCTCAACAAGGAATACCTGTAGAATGCATCAAGAAATAATTAGTTTCAGAAGTATGGTAGGACTTCAAACCAATTTTAATAAAATTTTGACTGTAGAGGCAGATTAATATAACTTTATATACTGAGCAGAGCTTTTCACATTACATTCTACACTCCAAAAGAACTGTGGTTGCCAAGTGTGATGTCATTTAGCAATGGCAAACCCAGCAGTCCTGGCTGTCACCATAACCCCAGGACTGTGCAGGTCGATACGTGAGAATTTCATATGACTGTGACAACAACTGAATGTGTGTCCATTCAGAGGCTCCTGCCTGTAAGGTCTGAGATATCTGCATAACTGACTATAACTGTACTGGAGAGGTACATGAGAAAAAAAAGTTTGCAATATGTGTTTGTTTCAAGGTCTGATCCAGTGCTTATGCTTCTTTTATTATGTTGTCTTTCACCACTGATCAGTGACTTATTTTCAGCAACAACATCTTCGATTTATGATTGGTTGTTTAAAAACAATTCAAAGTTAAGATGGCCACAGAAAGGCTGCTTTAGAACTCCATAAAGCACTTTGAGCTGCTTTAAAGTATTAAGCCCATCATCTGACTACATTTCAAACAGTTGGCAACTAGCTCACATTTACAACATTTTCAGGTTTATTATCTACCTTAGTGCAGCTCTTGTATTTGTAGTTCTTCTGTATCTTGTGAGAAGAGAATAACATCATCTGAAATCTCAAGTGATTTAAATAGGTGCCACTGATTTTTATTTCATCTTTTGCCCAGTCTAATTTGTGAAATACTTCTTTAAGGCAGGCTGAGAAAAGGATAGGTGATATTTTTAGTCAGAAAAAAAGGAAAACAGCTGAGGAGCAGCAATTCAAGCTGCCGGGGATCAGCTGGGCAGGCCCACTTTTAAAAAAAACAGAAAATCAGTAATCTCTTTGTTTGAAGGCAGCACTATTGGTTCTGGAGAACCGGTCCAAACCAGTAAGAACTCACCTCTGACTCCAGAAAAGTGAATAAAAAGGGAAGCTGAAGTAAAATCATAAGCTAGTTATGGTCACATGATTTTCCAATTATTGACCTTATCATTAAATGAATTAATTGCTGATCTCAATAATGGTTGTTAAACAAGGACTAACTGTGTTAATTATTTACTTTTGGTTTTGTCTCTCTCTTCATTTGTGTACATAAACAAGTATTTATTAATATATCATATAATGTACATTTGGGCTAGTTTGATTTGGAAAGTTTTATTTGGATTTTTCTGGCGTTCAGCACATCTTTTACTGCTGCTACATTTTGTTTACAACATTATACAGGCAATCCTCGACTTACAACAGTTCATTGAGTGACCATTCGAAGTTACAACAGCATTAAAAAAAGTGGCTCATGACTACACAACTGTAGCAGCATGCCCATGAACATATGATCAAAATTCAGATGCTTGGCAACATATTTTTGATGGCAGTAGTGTCACAAGGTCATGTGATCACATTTTGCGACATTCTAACAAGCAAAATCAATAGGGAAGCTAGATTCACTTAACAACATGTTATTAACTTAACTATAGTGATTCACTTAACCACATCATAAAATGGGGCAAAACTCATTTAACAAATGTCTCACTTACCAACAGAAATTTTGGGCTCAATTGTGGTTGTAAATTGAGAACTACCTATCATTTGGAAATAATCTACACTAATAGCAGTGTTCATCCTTAAATAAAAAGTTGAAACTCGTTGACCTATCTTAGCTATAATTATAAAATAAAGAGCAATGGAAATTTACAATGGACTATTGATTGTTAATTCCTTAAAGGTAAAGGTTCTGAAGACATCTCCATGGTCATGTGGCCAGCATGACTAAATGCCGAAGGCGCAAAGAACGCTGTTACCTTCCCACCAAAGGTGGTCCCTATTTTTCTACTTGCATTTTTACATGCTTTTGAACTGCCAGGTTGGCAGACACTGGGACAAGTAATGGTTGCTCACTCCGTTACGTGGCACTAGGGATTCAAACCGCCAAATTGCCAACTATTCTGATCAACAAGCTCAGCGTCTTAGCCACTGGGCCACCGTGTTAATACCTTACTGTATGACTAATCATTTAAATAATAATTACCTTTTCCGTATTAAAAAACCATCACAGAATCATGTATTTATGCAAGAATCCTGTTTTGTTTTCTTAAACCATTCAGGGAATCAAACATATTCCTGGACTTATTGAAGTTGAATTCTCAGGAACTGAGATGGTTTCTAAGTAGAATACATATTATCACCATTCTTCAGTCACACTATATTAACTATTATAACTCTGCGACCTACATGCTTTTGCTTACATACCACATATAACTGCTTCCAGAGGATAGCCCATTCCTGGAGAGTTGCTGTAACTTCAGTAATAACAGAATCTTCAAGTGGAACAATTGTTTCATACTGCCTGTAAAATGTATAAATACCAGTAAAAATGTCATAAAAAGAAGAACTGTGGGTTCATTTACTTCCATCTTCCCTTGAGACTATGTATTTATTGATATATAACAAACATCCCCCAAAATATAACATAGTGGAATGTTCCATTGTCAAATAATCTTCTGTCTTCTGTTTCGTTGTACAAAATTTTATTTTATGACAATTTTAGTTCTATTTTTTAATTAGAATTGTGTAATGGGATATAAGAATAACCTTACATCCCATTACAACAATGTTGTAATGTAAAAAAGCAACAATGAGATAAATGGAATCTGAGTCCAAAACAGAAATCTAATTTGAGAAAATGTTTCAGACTCGACTCTTTCTAGTTATCTTGTAGATAAAGGTGGAAGATGAGGCACTTTCAGACTTGCAGAAGTCTGCCAATTCCATGGGGTGAGGTGGTTTCTCAGATAAGCTGAACCCATGCCATGAAGGACTTTAAAGATGATAACCAACACCTTGAATTGGATCTGAAGCAAACTGGCAACCAGTGCAGCATGCCGAACAGCAATGTGACAGGGGCCATCCTAGGGTTCCAAGATCTGCGCGGCTGTTTTCTGTGCCAAATATTCAAGAGTAGTTCCAAGTAAAGCATCTTGCAATAGTCCAAATAACAGATTTGCAGGGTTGTGTAAAACTCAATCTCAAAAAAAGTAATTTCAGTCCTCTTTTGAAGTTGATCTTCTGGTTTGCTCTACCCAGTAAGGCTGACAAACATTAATTGATACTCTGGTTAATCTATATGTTACTAAAACTCTTATTCCTAAATGGAATAAGCCAAAACGGTACAAAATATGACAAAATCTTTTGAACCAAAATACCACAAATGGGCTAACTTACACAATGCATCAAAAATCCAGGACCCATGACTCTCACAGAATTGAAATTTGATAAATGTAATAAAATGTCTAATGACATTAGAATTATCATAAAGCAATTTGTGACGTAATACAAAATCTCATAAAAACACATGTGCTGATATTTGACTAGGCTAACATGGGCTATTTTCAAGGCAGATAATCTCTGAATGTATTTCCAACAATACATTAGAAGCTCTGTTATTGTTGAAGGCATTGAAACATCTGATAAGGAAATATCTCTACAACAAAGACCCAACAAGGCATGGGTTATCTTAGTCTCATAGGTATCACATAGCTGCAAAGAAAGACAGCCTATCATTCTTATGAATAAGGACTAATCAGTGATACTTAAGAAAGTTCTTTCTTAAATGGAAAGAAATTGGATGTAATTTTTTTAATTATTTGTTAGAATACATATAGTGTTATAGAATAAGTGTTTAGACAACTGTATTAAACATTACATGCAAAAGTAGTTTAAATTAAGAATATATTAAATAACGTTCATGAATTCCTATCTATTTGTCAGATATATCAATTTCTTAGTAATTGAAATGCATACTCACCCTCTGTTACTGACCAGTGCCTTTTTCAAATGAATGTAATTTGCAGGAAAGATTCCCTGCAAGAAAAATGATTATATTTATTTTAACAAGTATTAAATGAACGCTTCAATTGATCGGCAGAATTCAGTATTTATCAGCCCATTTGGTGAAACTAGTTTTAGAATCCCTTTTCTTTTTTAAAATTCTATTGTGTTTTAAGGCCTCATTACTTCTTTCTGTTTTCCTGTATTTTGCATTTCCCAAAAATGAAATGTGATAGATTTGTAAGGTTTTCATAAATGCAGTTTAACAACCCTACTTAAGTAAATAGTTTGGTAAGTGCTGATATTAGAATATCTGATTGAAATTGATTTATTCTCAATTACATGCAAGTCTTATCAGTGTTTTTTGAATCCAGAACTTTACAATTATAGGTAATCCTTGACTTGCAACCGGAATTGGGACCAAAATTTCAGTCACTAAGCAATAGGGTCGTAAATGAATCATCATGTGACAAGACCTAATTTTACAAACATTTTTACCCTGATTATTAGGTGAATCAAGTGGCCGTTAAGTTAATCTAGCTCAGTGGTTCCCAAAGTGGGCGGTACCATCCCCTGGGGGGGGGTGGGACAATTTAGGGGGTCGCTAAGAGGCAAGGGGGGAGGCAGGGGGCGCTAAGAGGCATAGGGGGCAGCAGGGGGGCGCTAAGAGGCAAGGGAGGTGGCAGAGGAGTGCTGGAGGTGTTCTGCTGTACTGTACTCCCAACTCGTCTAGCTTAGCGTGCAGGCGCGGAAGGGAATATGATGGGACCGAAAGCGAGAGTCCTTCCCCGTGCGGCTTGTGTGGAGGTGGCGGCTCAGTCTCACCTCACCAGGAACCGGAGACGCCGCGCCTTGGGAAGGCTTGGGTCTTGCGCACGCTTTCAATGGGTGGAAGGGCTGGGTTCTTCTTCATCGCAAAAGACTGGCAGTTAAAACTGCTCCTCCAGCTGCAGGGGGGCGGCGGCCATGAACCCCTAAACGCAGCAATGGAGTTGTCTTCCCTGCGTCTTGCCAGCTTTGCCACCTTCCTTCTCCGCAGCCCGCTGTTATTTAACGAATGGGCATGTGGGTGAACAGCTTCACAAGAGCCGAAGGTCCTGTCCCACCCAACATGAGCGCACGGAGACCCTCGGCCGGTCTGTCATGCTGTGTAGAAACTGAGCTGCTGCCTCCATTAAAAATTGCAGGGGAAGCTGAAATTTTGGGATGTGATTCTAAGAGGAAGAGCATCTACTCTGCTTGAGCTACTTTCTTATGTAAATAAGGATTGAACAGCGTACAAAAGAGATTGTGGATTTTAATTCTTTCGTGCTGGGGCAGGGCGTGATTTTGCAACTACTTCATAGATGCACGTTTTTTTTCTATAGCATTAGT